AGTTTAAGTGGCCAGCATATCAAATGTCTAATAGTGAAATATATTTCATATTTTCGCTATTTTATCTTTTCCCGAGGTCAATCAAAATCAAAATCCTACACAGTAAAAATACGGCGCAGTTCTACCACTGCATGGCGGCTGCTACCACGAACGAACCGCGCCGTCTCTTGCCGTGATTTTATGGCGGTAGCACCGTTATATTGAGAAAGTCATGTATCAAGTTTTAGTTTATTATGCAGAATTATATCTACATAAACCTGAAACCTAACCCCAAATCCATCAAAACTGCATCCATAAGAAAAATGTTCCAACTTACCCAAGTTTGTCGCCACCAGAGGCAGTCTTACTATTACAGCCTACGTATTTTTCTGAGGGTAATCTCATCAAGTTTACAATGTGCTCTTCTCCTATAATGATGCAGTTCCAGTACACGTCTGAAAGCTGGAGCAAATGAAACTATTTCTGCTATCACATATGCTTGCTAGTCGCCAGCTGGTAAGGATAGCATAAGGACAGGGCTCCTTAACACCAGTATTAAAATATGCTTTGCTCTATCGTTATCCAAAAGCATGGGCTGAAAGTTAATTAAAAATGTTTTTTATGTGATTCATGTGTGGAATCATGTCCTGAAAGAGGCATACAAAAATTTGTTAAGCAGTAAATAATATTTCATTTACGGTATATGGGAACACGTTTAAAGACAAACTATAAGTCATTTTGTCATCTGTTTTTTATATTGCTGTGATTGTTCAGTTTTATCGAATATAAATTGATCGATACTCACCTATTTTAAAAATCAAATTGTTGCAATTTGCAGATGTGAGAATGAAATATATGACCACTGTACAGTTTATTTACATGTTTACTCTTACTGCATTTGCAGTCAAATTAACTTATTCCATTTTTTTGTACGCTTGCACAGCTGCAATGTTTATGCTCATCTTTTAGCCTTTTTTCATTACAGTTCTGCGGTAAACAACATCAATATGCTAATAAAGAAGCATTACAATCTTTCCAATAGTGTTCAACATGTTATGAAATATGGTGGTCGCGGTTTCATCAATGCAAAAAATATTTGCCGGTTTAACAGCGTGATGCAATTATTGCAAATAGTTTTCGTGTCCATATATTTGAGCATTGCTCTCTTGTTTTTTATTACTGAAATTAAATTAAAACTTTTAGGAAGACAGAATGATCATTGAATTATCTGATTTATATTTAAGTTTCCTAAACACAACTGAAAACTAACGAATACAGTCTAAAAACGCGGAAACGAGGTAATGCTTACGACCACGCTTGAAAATCTGTCTGAATGAGAAAAGTGTCTGAGCGGATGTGAAAAGGAAGCATTGTTACGTCACTTTTTGCATCTTGCTGATTGGACAATGTCACGAAGTTAACAAGGAAGTCGATGCTCGGGGAAAGGTCCATTCTCCGCCATTGACGGATGGAAATTTGTGAATCGTATTTGATTATGACGATGATCGAGTAGTAACATAACGATTTCTGAACGAACGTATAGTTCCGTAGGTACTCCCGAAGTATGTCGACCGAGATGTCAGACACCGGAACGTAATGTGTGTACCAGGTTAAGGTTAGGCCATAATTTCAGGTACAAATACTACGGGAGACACTTGGCTAGTTCCCGAACTCGTAATAGAACTAAAATTGGAATAAAATTATGGCCTAAGTCTAACCTGGTACTACGTTCCGGTTTCCGCTTTGCTCCACATACATCGGGAGTACCGTTTAGTGAGCAAAATAAAACTCAATTCCCCCAGTAGTACAACGGTCAATATCTGTGAGGAGGAATAATTGTGGCGGATTTCAGCTCAACGATGTCGATGTCACGCTGAATAATGTATTTGAAATAGTCAAGTATTTGATTATGGCTCTCCGTGGTATAATCACAAGGATCTGTGGCATCTGATAAAGTAGAAAATGAGCCCAATTATTACATGAGATGAGGGCAGGGTCGCATTGAGACGTTGAGAGGTCCCATGCTCAGCTGATTGTCAGCCCCATCTCTAACAATGACGTAATTCGTATTTTTTTGGTGCTATTTGGTCACTGCGTTGTCATTAATTAAGCAGAAACCTTCGAGGAATGATCATTATTGCTTTATGCTCTCGAATTAGCCTCCAATGCTTCCTTTCCATGGATTTAATCCTGGAACATATGTGCCATTATACATTAAATACTATGGGTGATAATGGTGACATGTTTTACTGTTTGTGACAAACGTTTGTTTCGTTTCGAAGGCAAAATTTCGTTTCGTTTTGCAAAATTTTCGGCCCAGCCCTAATTACGCTACATAGCAACAACAGTATCGAGAACATGCTAATTGGTATTGTCCATGTATTATGCTGACTGGCTTAAGGACAAAGCTGGACTTTTGGCTGACCGGCCGGGACAAAATGTTAAAAACTGGGACTGTCTTGCCTTAAACGGGACGTATGGCAAACCTAACCTATTGGCAACTTCTTCTATTTGTGAGCACTCAATATTTGAAGTCGATCGATTCACTAGTTTCGCCTTCATTATCACCCTTGTCATACGAGAAACATTCCAGCAATTCGTGGGCGGGTTAGCCTGTACCTAGAGCAGTATGTTCCCCAGCTTTTCTCTTTAGGAGGGGTGTTTCAAAATTTAGGGGGTGGTAAATAATTTGCTATTAGAGATAAAACTAGGCTATTTGCATTCTTAAAAAAATGGTATGTATTTAAGAAACGATGTACATGGGGGCCCCCCGAGTTGATTGCCGGCGAGCCAAAATCCACAGCAGAATGAAATTGTAGGGCCAGAAAAGGGGAGCGAGGAAAAGTGCGGGACGACACGGCTGGGGTTGAGGGCGCGCTTAAGCGCCCTGAGAAAATTTTGAGAAATAGGCACCAAAATAGGCTCTAAGCTTGATTTTAGATACACCTAGCATCGCAGTTTGTTATGTAATAAAATCAATAATTATAATATTTACCTGATAGAATTCTCGGGGAATAGATAACAAGCACGGCTTTCAACCGAAAATATATACTACTACGTTTCAACAAGTAATTTGCAACTGATAGTGACTAATGAAGTTACTTGCTCATCTGGCATTGTATGAATGGCTACTTATGGCTTGTTTTGTTACACATTTCTAATTTTTTTGAACATGTTTGTTTGACTTTTGTATGAATTAAATTTTGAAATACGCTCGTCAACTGATCATAATGTCGCATAATGTTGTATTCCTTCAGAACTGAAATATTTTGTAAGGAGACAAATCGCTGAAGTTTGATTCTTTTCAATAAAGAAATAAAAACGCTGTCATTCATCTAAAAAACGTCTGTTTTCAGTCCTAGTTTTCGTTTTGTGACATCTTTAAGCTTTCTTAATATATGGCTGATATCTAAAATACTGCAGTGTGTAATCATAATACCCATACCTATACATAAGATACCGGAATAATTCAATTGTTACGAAATAAACGTGCTTAAACTGTGATAATGATGTAACAATAGACGGTATCTAAAACTCAAAAGGTACCACATGAAGGGTTAAACTATTTCACTCAAGTTCGGCGGGCCATTTTAAATCGTCACGCGGGCCTAATTGACCCGCAGACTGCGGTTTAGAACCCCTCAGTGTTGAATCGCACCTCAAAATTAGGGGGGGTGTTCACCCCCTATAGGGGGGGTGTAGGGAAATCACTGACCTAGAGGTTGTAGCGTTAGACTAAACCCAGACATGGACAAACTACGGCCCGCGGGCTAAATCCTGCCCGTTGGGTAATTCAATCTGGCCCGCTCGATGCTGTCACAATCAAACTAAAACAAAATTTTGGCAAAAAATAACTCAAGAAATTGTTGGGATCGCAATCAAATTGAGTTTTGGCATGAGGATTCTCGTTTTCCATTTTTGCTTTTGTAACACTGTAAATATTGTCCATAAAATGTAACTTTTACTTGATACTTACATGGCCCGCCAGTCTAGATGGGCAAAATTTTTTGCCCCTGGTCCGAAAACCTTGCCCACCCCTGGACTAACCTCTATCGCTTCTATGTCTGGACATCTCGTTTTATTACGGAAGTAATTCCTTTAGAACATGCAAACCGTTATAGGAATTCAGAACCTTGATATATACATCCTAATCATCACCCGACACAAGATAAGAATAACCAACGCCTACACTATTATTATTCCTGGCTCAAACTCAGATCATTCGGACGGACCGAAATTTTTCCACTGGAAATAAATGCCAGCGAAGCGATGGCGTTATTGGACAAGAAATGTACATATACATGGTTCGTTTCTGTGTCGTTGTTCTTCCTTCGCTTGTGAAAAAATCGATTTCTCTTTACCTACTGAACCAATTGCTTTGAATTTTTTAGTGATTAAAGATTGTTGTTGTCGCTAGGAGGCTTACTTTTATTTATTCCTAAATTCTCTATGAATCTTGTGAGATACGATATTTCACCCAAAATATGGCTGTATTATTTTTTTATCCACGTGAACACGGTTTTAACACGCTCAACGTCATGGCTGTCTTCTAATTTGATTTTGCGAAAACGTGCTACGCGAAAGTCGGAGGTTGTTCGATACCGGTGACGCATAGTAGACTAGGTACTGTGTTCCTGTTAATGCTGTAAATGATTTGACTGTATGGTATACCGCACGGTGTGGAGTCACATACTTTTCGAGAAATGATTAAATGTTTTGTGACATCATATATACGCGACTTGTGTTATTTCGATTCAAATTCATATCTGCAATTTTCGAGTCGGGTACCACGATCTTAGTGGAATTCGAAAACCAGAGAGTCAGGTTTTCACGGCGACTTTGGTTTTTGTCAGCGATTGAAGCAGCCTATGTACACTGCAAAACCGAAATCCGTTTTCCACCTTGTGCTGTCATAAGTCGCTTCTTTTAATGCCTAAAACCACCATTTCGGCTGTAAAACATTAGAGTCATCTTCACATAATTTGTTTTTAAGAGTGATTAGGAAGGGAAAATCTCTTTTCTATCATGTGACGATTTGTATTCCATCATATTAAATACAATACCACCATTTTTGTTGCACATGTCTGCTATTATTTTAAAAGCCACTAAAAACAAATGAACCGAGCTTATGTACAGCGGGTTGCAACTTATTCACAATTAAATCGTCCCATAGCCTTTGGCCTTTACACAACTTGAAAAATTCTTCGTGCTTCTTCTCTCTTCCAACAGACAGATCCCATGAAACGATGGTGAGTAGCGAAGCAAGTAACAGGACAACTGGCATAATAAGGTCTAATAAAGGTAGTGGCAAGCGCAATGTGAAGGCCTGCTTATAGTTTTCACAAATCCATTTATCTTCTTGCTTGGAAACAACAACTTGTCAACTTACAGAACGTGTATCTGTCGAATAAATGTTTGAAAATTGTAAAGTATTTGAGCACTGCAGCAAGTTTTTTTTTTAAAAGCAACTGTCCAAGCTTACGAAATAAAATATATATATATATAAATATAAATTTGGACCGACGCAAGATGCGCTGGAGATTCCGCTAATCATTGAGGAGCGATTTCAGTTTACAGGCGGTGAATTTTTAAGATATATAATAGGTTAACTTAAAATTGAATCAAATCTCACATTTTTTGCCTAAAAACCAAATCATAATGATAGAATTTTGACTTCAAAAGTAGGTGATTCTGAAGTTATATGAGGTCTTCTCGATCTTTATAAATAAATTTCTGCTGGGAATTTTAAGGTGTTTTCGATTCGTCACAAGCATTAAGTGAACATGTTCAAAAGGCGTCATTTTTTCACGAATTAACAATTTACTATATGAATTATTCAAACAGCTGCAGACTGATGGTCGCTGACTACAAATGATTTTATCGCAACTATATATCGGACAGGTTATCAGTGTATATAAAGATTACAGCTAGTAGTATGAAAATATAAGAAAAAACTCGCAGTTGGATTCAAAGAAAGGTTTGAAATTCTGTGAATGATAAAGACAATATCACATTAGTTCGAACAGGTTGTTTCAAGAATGCATCATATTTATTACATGAAGGTATTTGCACTCGTTTTTGATAGATATGATGCGCATTTAAAATATAAATCAATCAGTGAACCTATTGTTAGTGAGCTCGATTAAAGACAACCCGTTTCTAGAATTTAGACTTCCATCACTAGTTTTAGAACTTTATGGCCTATTTGTTGTATACTAGCCGTTACCTCTACAACCCCATATCTACTATTGTGAGAGGTCAATTATGCTTAATTTAGGTCTATTCCTTTTAATATATTTTTGTTAGGAAGATGATTGTCCTGTTATTGTTCGGTAAACATTAAGGAGTTAAACCGATAATTGAAATCAATGCAAAATATAAATTTTCGAAAAAGTGATTTGAAATTTTTAAACATGGGCCAAACGTCTACTGAAGGAATGTGTATGTAATTGCATATATATAATATTCATACTTCTACGTCTTCTTTAAATTACTACGAGTGAATACATCATCAACAAATACGTATTTCACATCCACTTACTGATGGTTTTGCGACTTATAGCCTCATTAAATTGTGAATTATGCACAAACATCTTTGAAAAAGACATGACCATCAGAAAAGCAAACATTTTCAAGAACACACATGGGTGCATTGCAAAACCAGCTGACGCAGCAAAGTGAAGTGGCTCGCCAACGTTAAATATAAATGATCAAATTTTTAGGTCAATGCATGGAAAAGCTAAGTTAATAATACGTAAGCTCGCAAAATAGGGCGATAAGGCCAATGCAGTAAAGTTGCAAATAATCAAATTCGCCCTCCCGAACTAATTTAAACGATGGAAAATGGTCCAACTCTAGAGCCAAGAAAATGATAATATAATCAACAATTTAATTTATTTGATAAAACAGTGCAGCGAACCTGACAAGTTTAAGAATTGATGAATTCAACGATGTCAGATCTACACAGACCGTGAGTACTAGTTAACGAGGTGGGTATAGAAGAACTGAATAAATTTCTCAGCGTCACAAAAGTAATAGCTACTTGCGTACCACTGCGACTATCTTTACAGCGCCTGATTTCAAATGGAAGTCTCTTGATAAGTACTACATGATACATCTCATATAATTAAGAACGTTATTGCGTAGCTGTGAATTCGTCGACACATGGGTGCACCTGACTATTCCATACTGACAATATACACGAAAACAGACTATGTCAAACTATTATAAATATATATACTGGACTGGGTCATATAACATGTAGCTGATCAAACATTTCTTTAGAGACATACTATTTTTCAAGGTATTTGTTATGGTTGTCACTTGATTTCTTAATATATATCTTATTTATAAAAAAGCAATTTGTTTCGGCACAATGATGTATATTGAAAAATTCCCAATGTTGTTTAAAACTGGAATTTTACTTGCTTCTTTGTCTTACCATCCGTTTAAAGAGGGGTTATTAATGATTATGAATTTTTTCAATTTGTGACATATATCGTGCTTTTGCGTAGTCCCCAAACTGGTGCTCCCGAAGTATTCGTACCAAGATGGCGCACAACCTGAACAACCCCGACCTGGTACACATACTATGTTCAGGTTGTGCGCCATCTTGGTACGAATACTTCCGGAGCGTCCCCAAACTTAACAGTGAAAAAGGTTCCAGTCGTCTTCGTATTTTTAATGAATATTACGAGGGCAAATATATACCGGTTTCATAATTTTTAGGATACGCCACGTCAGTTTAGACTGACGGCAAAGATGGTTATTGAACACACAATATTGTTAAAGGAAGAATGAAAGTGTTACAAAACCATACAACTTGAAACTTCGAGTCATCAATACTCTGAAAACTGCCTTATCGCACTTCAGGAATACCATCCGGCAAACTGCAATATCGTATATCAGAACGGTGTCTCAACAATATCGCGCTTGATCCCTTTTCAACGAGCTTGTTCAACTATTCTATATATACATTGTGGGCTACGACAAGCATACGAGGTCGGATTTATGTACGTCTTGGATAGGTATATTACTATGGCAGAGAGTTAAGTATTCAAATGAAATTATATATATACAACTGGGAAAAGCGTGGAACATTCAATATCGAATGCTTTTCATATGGGAATCATCATTACACACAAGGAGGAGATTGGATGTGTTCCTCCACATTTATATATATATACAAGTGTTCATTAGTTTTCAGTTTAATATGTGTTGCAAGAAACCGTTTGGTGTGTTTTCTGTCGACGCTGGCATGCCACCAAACTGCCAGTGTCCACGACCACTACAAATATATTTTGATAGTTTGTCACGAGTGGTTATCAATCTATCTCCTTGTGTACCAATATTGTCAATTTTGGAACCATATTCGTAATATGTTGAATCGAAAGCTTTAAATGTGAAGTACGAACACTACCCAATATATGTTGAAAATATTATTGCTTTGCTACCATACGTCCGGTTTAGCCGGGAGAGACTCGACAGGTTGTCCCGCCGTCCCGGGTGGTAGACCCAAGTGTCCGGATTATGCAGTATGACAGGCATCTTTTTTTTATTTGATATCGATCAATTATTTTCTTCAATATTGCAGCCGATTTACCACGGATTCGCACCTCACTTCGCTAGTTCGGATGGGGAAATAAATTGTTAATTCATAGTTATGATAACAGGTATGAATCATACGTTAAATTTAACATCCATCTCTACTGCTCGTTGAATCACCAAAACAAAGTGCAAGTTTTCTAATGAGTTGAAGTAAAATAGAGGATATTTGAATAAGATTTACAGCTAATTTTGATGCCCGTAATCTACCCACAATGATACGAGAAATGTTAAATTAATAAGCCTCGGAATCGAACCAAGGTTGGCTTGTCTACGGTATAACGACGTACAGCTTTTGCCAGTTTCTTGCAACAAGAACATCTATTCGGACTGAAATAAATCAATACCCAGATGTAGACTTTATAGCTTCTGAAGTCTTTTATCGAAGATGTAAAAAAGCTACGCGGTTTACCATAGTGTTAACAATATTTGTGACTCCCAAAGTTCTGCTGATACCGACAGAAAATACTGTTGACGTTATAAAAGTTCTACACATTTAATGATAGAAAGAAACATATTTAATATCAATTACGGGGTTTGATATGATATAAGGTTGTGACATAGATGCAATGACGCAGGCTTGTCCATGGGATGGTATGGGACAGCACACATTTGTATTTTCCATTGGGGCACGGAATTATTCAGTTATTGGACACTGAGTGGACCTAAGAGGGATGTTTTGTTATGATGTTGTTATTGTTCTTAGAATTTTCTTTCCCATCGTTATGAAAAAAATCGCTTTAATTACTGAGCCAATTGCCTTGAAATTTCGGTTGTTAAAGATTGTATTTTACGCTACAAGGCTAATACTTTTATTTATTCCTAAATTTTCTATGAATCCGTTGAGATCTGATATTTCATCCAGAACTTCGCTGTATTATTTTTTACTCATGGAAACCCGTTTTTTAAAAATCGGATGATTTCCCATATATCATAATCAGGTGTTTGTTTGAGATACCGTATGATTCTCGGAGAATGGACCTTTTCCCCGAGCACCGACTTCCTTGTTTACTTCGTGACATTGGCCATTCAGCAAGATGCAAAAAGTGACGTAACAATGCTTCCTTTTCGCATCCGCTCAAGACACTTTTCTCACTCACAGATTTTCAGACGTGGTCGTAAACATTACCTAGTTTTCGCATTTTTAAACTCTATTCGTTAGTTTTCAGTTGTGTTTCGGAAGTTTGAATATAAATTGGATAATTCAGTGATCACTCTGCCTATAGAGTTTTAATTTAATTGCAATAATGAAAAATTAGTTTAGAAATAGCTGTGATAGACTAGGCTAAAATTATTTACCTGTACTTTTAAAAAACAGATTGTTGTATGCGATGAATAATTATGATGGTTTGAAACAAATACCCCATTTTACAAGCGCCAACTCGCAAAACCTTAAAATGAGCCCTGGAAAAAAATATGGACCCCGTGTCCATATATTTGAGCATAGCTCTCTTGTTAGTTATATAATAGTGAATTTCAAAGTTAACAAAGTCGATAAATTTTGTCGTTTTGCAAGTCTCTTTGTACATGTTGTTCTAGATTTTAGTAGATGCTAAACCCAAACATTTTTTTATTGAATTGTATTCCAATGAGAATCCATCCCATGTGATGGAACAGGCATAAATTGCTATGGGATGGGACAGAAAACGGCAATAATATTGCGCGCACCGACTTTCGGGTGAGGCGCTCCCGATGCACAATGGCATAACCGTGATGAAACTTCAATTATAACAAGAACAATTTTGTAGAGCGGGAAGAGGACTTGTCGTGACAACAAAAACGGCCATTGTAACAGAGAGAAAATCGAAGACAATCGTCAAAATTAAATTCTGTTTTACGGGACGCAATGCACGAGGTTGAGTGCACGCTTTTTCGGCAAAATGGCGTTACACTCGACAAAATTTGTTTTTAATCTTGTTAGTCCTTTCCAAATCTTGTAATAATTGCATTTTAATTTAAATTCCGTTGCCCTGGAGACAAATAAAGTTCGCGCTCTAAAGATAATAATATGGAATGTAAATACAATCAAATAACCTCTGAAACACTGCAAGCCGATTAAAGGTTGAAAACTCTGTGTATATGAAATAAGATATTAGAATGTGCTTTAAAGACAAGCACCCCTTTGTATAGGCAACTGTCGCTCTCGGTCTTTGCTCAGCGTTTTTCATTTATCTACTTCCAATCAGCACTTTGCCACTATTTTTTATTTTGACGCAATCATTCAAGTTATTTCATTAGAATGATCATTTATCGTGAATATGGACACGAAAGAGTTCTCTATATTTGTATTTTGTCAGTACAAGCATCTAATTTATAGGCAATCTGGACGAGGGACTTGGAGGGGGAAGCACAGATCAACAATATCACAGTTTCGTAAACATTCTGCATAAAGGCAGTCATCACGACTGCATACTCTGCAACTGAACTGTTTGTTGGTATTGCAACAATCGCTATTCCTCCAAAACGACAACAAATTCCAAAAGTTGACTTTGCAACGGGCAAATCATTAACGGCAGAAATTATATTCTAAATGTAATCTCGAATTAGGAAAGGGATATATATATATATGATACCAAAGGCCACACGATGTAAACAAACTGAAGTACAGCATGATAGCTATGTGAATGATATTAGCGTATATGCACTAAAGTAAAAATATATAATCGGTGTGGAAAATTTATGTTTGCTTTTACCCAGTACAGGAATGTCGTTGTCATTGTCAAGTTTCACAAAGATTAAACAGATTACAACTTTTTTAAAACTCATCCCACTCTGACTCAACGTCTTCATCTCCCGATTCTATAGAATTCTTAAACAAGCGATGAACACGAACTGCGCTTATACTAATAGAGAAGTTTACTTGGTATCAATTACGGTATATATGGTACGGTATATATCCCAGACTATGGTGGGCACAACGCTCAAGTCCCTAACAGTCGAGGAACATTGTTATACAATTTTATAGGTAACGAGTGTACAAATAGAGCTCACAACGATGACAGAACTGAAACTCACTATTTTGTGCTATTTTGGAACACTTCCATGACAGGAGACAAGAACAATGCGCGGACAAACAAAGTTTGGAAAAAACGGAGAGTAACTGCACAAAAGATACGCGATTTTGGAATCTATAACTTGCCCTGAGACAACCAACTCGGAACAACTAGTATTATACGCAATTTACGGGTGTAGAAATTAACAACATATTACATCTAATAATATAAGCCACGGATAAATATACAACTCCGATGTCCACCTGAGAATTTCGTGTATGTAAAATGATCGAGGTGGCTTCAAAATCATGGAAATGAAGGGTAATATTGACTATTGCCTGATTATTCACGTTTATAACATTGTTGTTATTCTGATATATATATTACTATCATGTTTATACTTGTATCCCATGTTACAAATAAGTATGTTTTCGATTCGATTGATTGCGATCATCTAGGGCGGCACATTTCTGCTTACACTTCCATAAGCGGGCTTAACATTGGAGATTTGGGTATCAAGATGAAAAAAAAAAACAAGTTTTCTATTATCATAAAACATAAATGAATCCTTTTATTTGGTAAAGTGAACTTAGGTTGGTGTCAGGAATACTCTCAAACATGACAGCAACATACAATGAAGCACTGCTTAGCAGTACCTACATATTCTACACAACATAGCTTGTCTAAATTATAAAAAAAGTGTTTTGTTACTTAAAATTTGTTTTGTTTTTAATATCAGGATTTCTCAGTCAGCGCTATTTGATCCTACTGAAGTGTCAAGGTGACCTGGTTACTGATATATTTCAATGAACATGTTAAGCAATTCCTGTTTGTGGCGAATTTAAGATTCTGACGGTTTGAAAAATTTTTACTTTGTCATTTGCATTTTAAGTTCAACATCAATAATATATGGAGACAAAGTTTGTATAACACAATTTGGTTATGTTACTTGAACAAAGCAAGCATATTGAATTTAGCTTGAAGCACATTCATTTGCATATGTGAAAATCGTTTGTTTGTCAAAAAAAGCATTAATGTAAGTTTTGGTTAATTGGTGAATGTATCTCTAAGTCTAAATCTTATTGGTTATTGAGAATCGCACAAATTATTCCAAATCTTAAAGGTTACATGTTCAACAGTATATAGCTTTTACCGTATGAAATTATATTGATAGCATCACCTATTTAAGATTAAAATACTTTCATTTGACAAAATTAGACTCATACATTTTATGTAGATACAACGTTGAAGATGTTACTGGCTTTACCACTGCTGAATGTAAATATAAAGAGTAATATTAGACTCATACAGTCATGGTTGGTACAAAGCAATCATGAAGCTTGGCAGTATAATAAAATAAACCTAAATTTGTTATCGGTACAGTCTTAACGCAGTATTACTCATTTGAATTACAATAGAAAGACATTTACTATGAACTTTCAGCAATATCCTCATGGATTCTCACTACAGAAATTTTGAGATAAAAACACTGATGGCAAAATTTGCAGAGAATGATTCAGCCATTTCCAAGATTAGATTGTTTAATAAATTAGCGCTTGTGTATACAAAAACCCCGATATCATTTTATAAATAAAAAATTAGTACTATTAGCTATGATTCTCTATTTAAATTATTGTTTGGAAGCTTTTTTTTAATTGTCTTGCTCAACTCTTGAGGTATGTGTGGAAATAAATAAGTCAAGCTTAAATATGTAGTTTTATTAATTTGTTATAAATTTAGTGTTTTAATGAGAAATTGTTTTGTTTGTGTGCTGAAAATAACCATTACAGAGTAGACTGGAAGAACAATTCTTTGCTCCGCAGTTTGTTATCTTAATATGACACTGGCTCTGTTCTATTGTATATTTTTGTAATATTTTTCATATTAAAATTGCATCCTACTTATGTCATTTCACAACAATTAGTTTATGGCTCTTCGTGATGGTTTTACGTCCCCATGCATGATCAACTGGGGTAGAAGTTCCCAAATTTTATTTGGCCTGGTTCTTATGCTTAGCCGCTTACAGGTTTCTAAAAATTTTGGTGAAATTTGGCTGCCAATGTTACCACTAATCAACTTATTTTCTAATAGAGAATTTACCAGAAGTAAAAAACATAACAAGCTATAACAAGGATTTCTCAAAAAATGACATGGCACACAGCATTTTCCTATTATGGACCAGAAAGGATTGGAATACCATATAACTGACTTTCGCTATTCGGTAGGCTACATACTTGCCTCAACTTCGATTTCGGACGATGTCATTCATTGTGAATAAGTTATTACTTTAACATCATTTAGATAGAGCATCTGGCAATTACAGCTTGAAAGATCAGATTTTGGGAACCCCAGAGTTCTAGCCAAATTATATAAACACTTACGGTCAGGCTTACCTTGATAGAAAATCACATTAAGTTATTCCCAACGAATCTTGGCCTAATGCGCCTTGGGCGTTGAGCTTGTTGGTAAGCAGGTCGCGCCATGCGAAACATACCTCCTCTTGGCCCTGAAACATAATTTTGAATCAAACCAAATTCTGATAGATAAAATTAAATAACATTTTACTAATGCCATACCCTCTTCATGGTCCAGTGGAAATCTTGGTCGCATGGGTCTGTGGAAGCGCTGCCCAGCAGGTAAACGAATAGGTCTGCGCACAATACCATCACCCTGAAATCGCATCCTTGGGGGTCTGGCACCCTCAGGCCTCATAAGTCTAAAAGCCTCTTCTCCAGAGCCAGGACTTCCCATTCGCAAACGCGGTCTTGGGCCTCTCAGACGCAATGGTGGTGGACGTAACCCAGTCGGTTCCAAGCCTATTGGTCGAGGATTTCGTACCCTCAGAAGTCCACGAGGCATACCTGGCCGAGGCCCACGTACTCTTGGTCTAGAAATTTGCTGTATATCTGGCTGAAAATCATGCATATCATCACTTTCCATTATGAGTTCGTCATCCATAGGCTCAAGTATTGGAGTGTCTGAAAAAAAAATTAAATGGGAGGAAAAATTGATCTTAACGCATCACTACTGTGACAATATTTATAGTCATACCCAACAAGGCAGGTCTGGGAAGAGGGGAGCGAAGTCTCATTGGTATTCTCCCAAAACCTTCATGATCTGACGCACGATTCTTTTCAAGACCTGGAGGTCCATGTGGACTACCAAGTAATGACATTCGTGGCTCATGCGATGAGTTGTTTGCATGGAGCATAGGTCTTTCACCAATCTGATGCCTAATTGCGTCAATGGCAAATGGCGTCTGAGGTCCACGAATACGAACAGCAGAATCAATTAACTGACTTGGCAATTCAGATGGGAATCTGTGAAACAGAAAAATCTTTAAGACAAGCTCACAAAACACTTGACAATTTCTTCGATATTAATTCAACTAATACCAGAGCACGAATCGATAATGAAAAAGACAAAAAAAATTATATTTTGTTAACAGAGTTTATTGAAAACTTGATAACCAACCTTAGTTGTGGTTCCAAACTTGACGGATGAGCACCTAACAGTCCAGGCTGTTCATTCACAGGCAGGTCCAATAAACTTGGAAGGATATCATTGTGTACTGCATAACAAATGGTAAAAGAAATTTATCATTCAAAAAGCTTCAACAATATTAAACACAAGTGAATATTGCCTTAGTGATATCCATACAACATATACATCTGGAGTATTCGAAGCATTGTTTTAGAAAAAATATTAATTGAAAGAGGTATAGTGATTCAAAAATAATATTCAGTCATTTGATTCCTAAATTAGAACTGTGCTAGGAGAGTTTTTCTACCAAAATTAAATAATAAGCTTAGAATCAAGGTACAAACAGATCACAGAAACTGAGAGTTCTTTTATCGTATAACAACAAATATTGAAAGGCTGAATCTGACAAATCTAGAATACCTCCAATACTTGCTTTCTCCTTCATCAGAAGACTTTGGACAGCAGTGAGTTGATCCCATTCACCTGCATTCTGTGCCTGTAGAATACGATAAATTATGGTAACCAAAGCTATAGCAATGTCATTAGAAACAGATCCTGACAGATTAAATCTTTCAATATTATTTTTTCCAAGACAAACAAACTGATAAGTTATAAATGAAAAAAATTCAAACAAAACTTACAGGCTCATCATACATTTCTCTTTTAGCTTGTTCCATTGCTTCCTTTTTAGCTTGAAGCATTGCTCTTTCAAGTTCCAGTTCTGATTTTATTTTTTCGATATCTCTCACCGGTATGTTCCTATTATTAAGGCTCGGTGAATGTTTTCTATCTCGCGCTGGACTTCGAGATCGAGGAGATTTTCTTTCAGTTGGTTCCCAACGTGTTTCCCTTCTTCTAGAGCTTCTGTCACGATCTCGGTCTCGTGTACGTCGACTATCAGAGTCCTTTTTATTGTTATCCTGTTCTCTTGAGCCATGTCTGCTGGACTCTCGCTTCGATCTAGAATCTTTGTCATTCCTAGAATCTCTTGAGTCCTTTTCACTTCTAGAATCTTTTCCACTTCTAGAATCTTTTGATGAATCTCTTCTATCTTTAGAATCAACTTTGTCATCTACATGCCGACTTTTAGAGTCACGCTCAGATCGTCTTTCACGAGTTTTGGATCGCTCTCTAGAATGTGGAGATTTCCTATGGGGACTTTCATGAAGCCTGGGCCTTTCTGCAATTACTGACGAGGTTTGGTCTGATTGATTAGAATGTCTAGGTTGATTGAGATCAGGAGCATTAAATGGCGGACGTTGATGGACAGGTATTCTATTTTTATCTGGATTTGGAAGCAGTGGTCTGTTCTTGGTATAGCTAGTTCCAATCGAAGGATCCGAAAAATTCGGTCTCTGGGATTTTTCATCAGACATAACTTGCTGTTGTCCATCTCTTCCGCCAGAAGGTTGCATCAAATGGGGTTCTTTTCTGTTTCGAATCCTATCCTGTGAATTATACTGCATTCTATCAAGATTGCTCCTTTCAATTGGTGGATGCGACATAGTGTTGCGAGAATCATATGGGTTATTGAACTGACCCACAGGACCAATGTCATCTGATTTGGGTAATGGCAACAATGGTTGTTTACGATTTTGCAAAATATGTGGTGCATTTGAAACATCTCGGTCTCTTTCACCAGACAAAGGAGGCCGTTCATTTCCCCTCATTCGCTGACTTTTAATTCTATAATGATCATCATTCCTGGGATACTGATTTTCTGTTTCACTGGAAGGATAATGTTGGTTCAAATTTTGATCCCCACCTGCAAAGCCCACATCCTCCATGTGTTCACCTGTTACAGAATGTATTTTTACTCATGCAACCACAAGAAAATAAGCTGAAATATAATTTCTAATCCCATAATACCAATAAAACAAAAAAGTTAATTAATTATTTTTAGCAAAGATCACTAAAAATCTATCTAACAGAAAAAATAGATACCTGGGAACTGCTTATCAAATATTTCCTGATCTGTCATCTCATATGGACGCTGAAAAGAAAATGATTCCTCAGAAAAATTCCAGTGAGTCAGAGATCCAGAAGTGATAAGGAATAAGGATACCAGAATTAAACTTCCTACAACTCCCAGTTCTACTGCTAATTACTGAATCAATGTAAAACATCAGAAATCAGTTCAAAATATTTGATTTAAATAGTTTAAAATTGGAAAATGTTTAAAAATGCCATAAAATAATTAATTGGGCATTCAGCGGAGCAGCTCTTACCCTTGAAAAATTTAAACATAGAGTCTTTAAATAACACACAGTGATTTATAAAATACCTTGCTGTCTGATTTTATTTCAAGTTGTTGTGCTTGACGAATGTTAGCAAGACTGGCCTTCAGATTGTCAAAATCCACACCAGTCAGCTTTTGAATGGTAGAATCTGATGAAATAGTAAACAATGTAATAAATATATTCATGTAATACATAAATTCTCATAACAACACAAACATACCAGCGAATGATCCTTCCCTTGCTGGATGAGGAGGTCGAATCTGTCTAGCCATTTCAGCTTGTTGTACTGATTCACGACCAGAGAATACTTGTTTGGTATGTGCATCAACATCTGAACTGTGCTGTACCCCTAAAGGTGGTCCGGGTCTTGGTCCTCTGAAACGCATTGGGGTTTCCTGTCTGGGGCAGTTGGCACTTTCACCACGCAATAGTGGTCTGTGGAGGGCTGGAGTATGTGGCCTAGCCAGTAATTGTGCTCTGTTTCCTCGCAGCTGAGATTCCTTGCTGAAGTTAGGCATTGAAGATCTATCAAAAATCGGAGCATTCTCTTGTTGCTGTGAATAGACATCATATTTTGGTTCTTCATTGATATTGGTATTCAGGGGTCTACCTCTTGTATGAATATTGGATTTCATAGTTGGTCTTACAGCTGTATTGAAAGTGTGGATTTGTGGTCTGTGAATACCACCTCTTCCTTGTTGTAGTGGCATTCGTGGCCTAGAAACTTGATTTGAAGGGTGGCGAATCTGCATAATCGGAGGCCGAATCATACGATTAGTTGCTGAATTACCCCTATGAATTCGAACATCACCGTGAACTTGTGGGGGGTTTGAATACTGAGGGGGCCTTCAGACGTAAAATGATGATCGCTAGTGCGTGCAAAGTTAGGGTCATAGGAATGATTAGCTGGTGTATTTGCAGGAGAATCTCCTTGATATTGATGTTCATCTCCATCATAATATTGATCGTAATTTTCTCCTGTTTGTGGCTTCCTCCAGTTTTCGTTAGGATCTATAACATTACTTTTATCACCAAACTGTGGAACAGATCCACTTCTTCTGGTTGGCTCCGAATACCTATCATGAAAGTGATTGCTCAATGGAAAAATACAAATGACCAGTTTTACAGAGCACCATTTTTTAGAGATGTTAAACCACATCTTCTACAAATAACTACATGGACAAGCAGACATTGATATTCATTGTAACCAATTTGTTATATTCTGGCTGGGTGATGAGGATCGTTTGAACCAGAGTTCAAGCAACGTGGGGCCAATCTGCCAGCAAATAGGCCATTTCTTTTAATAAAAATAAGCACTTACGTTGTATCTTGGTTCCAATGTTGTTCCTGACTATCATAATAAGAATCATCTCCAACCTGTAATAAGATTGAATGACATGAATGAACTCAAATTTCTAGATTAAATTTTGATTTAGATATTTGCAAACTGAACATACATATTCATCTTTGTATTGCGTCTCTTCTCTTTCATCTGGATGACTAAAATCAGTTTTCATATGTTGTTGTCCTTGATCATGTCCTGTCAAAAGAATAAAAAACCATTATTATTACAAAATATGGGTGTCAAATTTTGGGCGTCGCTGCTTGATAACCAGCTTTGGTTGCCCGCTGCTTCCCTTCCCCAGTGAAATGTGTATTCAATCTTATTTATTCGTCTTAATTTTGCATATTAACTTTTTTTACTGGATGGAAAAAATAAACTTGACTATGACTATGCTAATTATAAAAACAAAATGTGAATTACCTGGATAATTTTGGTCATAGTTATCAGCATATTCATTTCCGTAATATTCCGAAGAATCATACTCTGGTTTCTGTCCACTCTTAGAATTATTTTGATAAGTAAAGGACTGTTGCTGTTCTCGTTGTTGGTTGGGCACTGGCATTTGTCCATATTCTGACCAGTGGGTTTGAGGCCGTCCAGCACCAGGACCTCCAGTCACAGGACGATTTCTACTATGTTGCTGAGCTTCCTTATTAACCTCGTGCACAGGTGGTCTTCGCTGAATATCAGGGCCATCTTGTCTAGCCCATGGCTTTGCAACACCCAAACTTGAGTCATTCTCACCGAAATCCCTCTGAGAGCTTGATTGCTAAAAATACAAGCTGATGTAAATCTGCTTAGACGAATAGATTTAATTGTTAACATTTCATACCTGTGCATTATATGACTGTTTATGTAGACCAGTGTTATTGCCATCTGTACGATATTCCCAATCCTTATCTTGTGATCTGAAAACATTGAGAATTACATCATGTGCCAGTTAGATATGATTAGTAATCAGTTATTTCTGTGTCGTGTTTGGCCTCTTTCTTTATAAATAACAAACAATGTACCTAGATTGCTCATTTGGTAGTGATCTTCTAGAGTCCTGAGGAGCAGGGTATCTCCGTTGATTTTGAATTGATGGGGATGGAAATATCTCTGAATTGTTTTTAAAAGTAGGCTGATGTTGGGGCAGCACTTCTTCTGGAGTATAATTATTTCTCCCTGGCCCATATCTGGATTCTTGCTGAGTTTGCTGTGGAAAGTGAAAAATGTCTGATGGTGCAAATAGAATAAAGTAAAGATAGTGATTTTCCTTCTGAATTATATGAATTAGTTATACCTTATCCTATAACCACTCATTGACAAATGCCAAAACAGCAAATAATCTGAATCGACAATAATCGTACTGAATACTGATTTGAGGGAATTTCTGCACATTAAAGTCTCAACATTGATATGCTACAACTAAAGCTTCGCAAAGGCTTCCCAAAAATCCTCAACATACTTTTATATTTTCTTTTTCTTTTATTTTAGGTATAAAATTTATTTACAGATCTAGGTACTCAAGTGTAATTTTCCTACAAGCCTTCAAATTAAACATACTTGTGTATTTCTGGCCATTGGTCCTTGATTCTGAAATCTTCCATTTCCTTGTGAAACGCTCCTACACAATTTCATAGAATAGTTTTTCAAGTATTAGTAAGAAAAGTATCCTAAAAATTTAGTTATGAAACTTATGATTATATTATATACCCAGGCATTTCTTGATTCGCTATCTCCAGCTGATAACTGATGCGGCATCGATGGAGAACCATCTCGTCGATATTTTTCAGGTGGGCCTCCGCCACGATCATCTTCAATACGCTTTTTTGTCTCATATCTAGATAAGGACAGTAAAATTACTTTAATTATTTTAAATAATATACCGCAATAAAGTAGGACTATCCTGCATATGAGTCGAAAAAATACATATAAGCTGACAATGTTGTACTAGAAGATCAATTCTATAATGCCTGAGTACAAATTCTACAACAATGTTAAGTATGATGTTAACCGTTATTGTCAATTTAATTTCTTTTATATTTACATAAAGTGTGTCCAAAACATTACCTTGGGCTTTCCTTAGAGTTTTCCCATTTCGATTTTCTTTCTCGTCTGTCGCTTCGTTCAGGTGAACGCTCTCGATATCTATCTCGGCGCGGCGAATCATGTCTTCTGGAATCAGATCTATGTCTTGAATCATCAGATCTTAATCAAATTATAGTAAGCAGAAAAAAACTAAGACACAATAATTAGCAGCAAAGTCAAATGATCAAAAGCCATATATACCTCTCATAGCTTCGAGATGCTCTATCAGTATCATGGTAATCTCTGCGGTCAGATGTTGATCCAGCCGCACGTCTATCACTCTCATTCTTTTCCTTTTGATTCTCATTAGCCCCAACACCACTCTGTTTATTGCTTTTGTAGCCTTTCATATTCGCATCACTTGTTGTAAAGGTTTTGCACAGAATGTAATTGGATGTAGCAGACAATGTAGAATAACGCAAATATTATATAACATTATTCGAGAAAGAAATTTTCCCAAGTGCCTCAGAACTTATATATATCAAGAAATATTGATGAAAACAAAGCGCGCCAAGATGTTGCTGTAATTTACAAAATATAAAAATGATCACCTGTTGTATTGTAAAACAAGATTTTCAGCTTCTTCACGTTGCAACTCAAGAAATGTAATTTTTGAGAATAACTTTTCATTCTCATGCGGAAGTGAAAAATTTGCTTTCATATCATATACTGCTGCTTCAGGAACTTCCTTTCCCTCCTCCAAAGTACGTTGATGTGAACGTCTCATTCATATCTTCATCAGTTGGGACAAGAACCATAGCATTTACCTAAAATGAAGAAAAATGTTCCAACAGAGTACAGACTATGAGTGACGAAACGAATAATAAAATAACTTTTTGGTATAATTCTCAACAAAAACACTAAACAGTATACATGGAATAGCAGCAACCAGACACACAGTTTATCAGCAACTCAAATGATTTGAAAAAATATTGCAAATATATATGCAATTGTCTGGATGCTACAATAATCACAGCACTTACTTGGTCAAGAACAAACCAAGATGACTATATACGATCTTGGATCATTTAGATATGTTTGATTACATTAGGACTCACTGTATATCCAGCATCCCTTATACTGACGAACTTTTCTCTTTCTTGCAGAATGAATAAACATTAGTTTGGTCAAGAATGAGGTTTCTGTTGCAGTTGGACGCCTTTTTCAACAATGCATTGAAGCACTCAGATGCCTGCTTAATAAGAACATCCCAGCGACCTATTAAGGAAGGTAAATTTATTGAAATATTGATGTGTATATTGAAATAGGGAAAACAATCTCTACTAAAAAAAAATAGAATTAAAAATGAAAAGCAAATTGTTTGATGAACATAATAAATTCTTTTCCGCCCCAATGCCCAGAGTCCATTTACTGAAAACTTGAATACTAAAATGTCTAACCTCCAAAGTTGTTTTTTCTGGGCAATCCTTGTACCCTCATTTTATCAATGATTGCATCAGTTCCAAGTATGTTGTATTTCTTGCTTGGATGTATTTTACTATAGTTTGTTGCCCAAGTACTCTTTCCTGAATTATATGAAGTATTAAATGAAAAAGATTTCAAAATATACTGTCATTGTGTAAATAACTACTAGCATACATACCAACTCCCGGTAAACCGACCATCATAATCACTTCACAATCATGTTTACTTTTAGGTGCTGAAATGGCAGGAACTCGAAGTTCAACTGGTAGATGCTCAATCAGTTTGTATCCAGGTAGAAGTGAGAAATATGGATTGGGTGCCTGACCAAAATTCACCTCCAATCTACAATTCTTCGACAAAATATGGGGATATAATGCCTGTAATGATGAATTTGTAAATTAAAACAACTTCAATTGTCACTTATCAAGTTAGAAAGAATGTATCGATCTAAAATAAATTGCATAAATTTAGTTTTTAAATAATCATATACCCAATTCAAAACAAGATTAAGAATTATATTCATGGAAATATTAATACCAACCTCATCTGCATTCCATCGAACTTTGAATGCACTGCCACAATGTCTTCCATTCACACAATAAGATATATCAGCCCACCCATTCTCAATTGCAAGATAACAACCGATTACATCACCTGATTAATAAACAGAGACACATTGATAGGGTCTTCTGAAGTACGCAATCTCAAGTACTTCTAGTGGGCGTAGCATAACCATTTTTGCATATAATATTTCAACCCCAAACTGAGTACGTCACTCAAAAATTACTACACAATCGCGTCATAGCGCTTGCTAAAGTATAGCTACGATCGTCCGAAATGGCATCCGTACCGACTATAATGAACTCACTAATGCCAGAAATCTCTCTCTTATAGGCATCGTTACGACGAGAAAAAGAGCTTGCTTGATTTCGAATGATTGTCTGCGCCTTTCAGATTTAGACGACCATCCCTATACTTTGAAGGTCCTTATTATTTTAATGCGACTTTGCAGTGATGTAATTTTTGGATGACGTAGTCAGGTGGGGGTTAGGAATGACATATGCAAAAATTGTTGATCTAGGCAATCTAGAAGTACTTGTGGGCGTGTACTTCAGGAGGTCCCCATTGATATACAGTAGAGGCATTATAGCACAGCAACCCCTAAATTGGCAATGTTGTAAAAACTGATTTCTATCAATCAAAAAGTCTGCTCTGAATTTGTTTATGACACAGGCCAGAGATGAGCGAAATAAAAACAAATAGTAAAATCACTAATTGATTTTCCTAAAAGAGTTTTTCAAATTATTATTATTCACGAGCACTCTAAATATTTGAAAATGCCCACCACAGAAAGTGCAATTCCACAATTCAAAATGTTGAGGGTACTTGTAAAAATTATAAATAACAAAAAACCTTTATCAAATCGCCTGCCATAATCTATAAATCTCCTGGCTTCAGATTTTTTAGCCGTTCCACCATACCCAAATGAGTTTTTATCTTCACCAAGTTGTAGAGTAGCGGCATCTGTGGACCAGCCAACACGCACAACATGAATATCAGTAAAGTCAGCAGTTGATACTTCAAGGTTTTCTGCAACTTTAACTTCATAGCAAACCTTTCCTTTCCTGTGACATGTAACATAATAAATTGTGAATAGAATATTATGTGGAATTAGATTAAATTCCAGGGATGAACTGAAAATATTTTCGATTACATTCTAAATTGGAGCGAAGTTTATGTGGTAAATTACATAAAGCACTATATTTATCTTCATGTTAATTCTAAAATGACATAAATATCTGTGTTGTTTGTTACCAGTTGAGATGTCGAATGTTTTGATCTGATACTATGATGGCTCAAAGTCCCTAGTTTTTAAATGAAAATGTTTTAAACTATTCCTAAAGTCAAAAATTGACTACCGGAATGCCTAATATAATGAATTTCGTTGTTATAAGTATTGGAACAACTTCACTTGCTGTCCCGAGCGACTGGAGTTTTTTTAAATAAATAATCTAATAGAAATTGAATCCCTCACTCCTTGATAACTGCATTGTATTCACATCAAATTAAATGAAGTCAACTATGTAGAGAACGGTAACATCCTGAATGGCTTTCAAAACCGAGATTAACAATTATCTGATGCCCAAAGTAAATAAATATATAACCTGATTCCAAAAGTTGCTTTTGCACCTGCCCACATGTAAGCGAAGCCATCCTTGCACAAAGGTTGGCAGCTGTATCCTTCTGGACTGATCTCAAGATTTAGATCACTGATGTATTCATCAAGACGAACTCTTGTGTTCATGTTAGGATGATAAAAGTCTTGTCTTAACATGATTTTACTTTTGCATCTGCTTTTAAGCAATCTTTTTTGATCAAATCTAGGTGTCAAAAAGCTAGTATTCCACGATACTTTAATCTATATTGCTACAATTACAAAGGAAGGGGACATGAAAGGACACACAGGCAATCTTGGCCTGTTTCACAATCTGCTTTATATTTTATTGTTGGTTAGAATCATGGACAAAATAGATAACATTCCCAATTTTCTTGAAGTGAATACACTTATTAGCAGATAAAATCAATCAAACACCTATAATGAATATTTCTCATGTGTGTGTATATATAGCATGTATATTGTGAAGAGTTGAATTGAACGGAGCTTAACATGGAAAAATAGCCGGTTTTTGTTTGAGTTTTCTTCGGTTCGTAGTCTAAATAAACAACCAAACTGTAATGAAAATGGTTGATTCTAATATGTACATATTTGTGTGCGTATGTATATTCAACTCTTCATTCTGAGAAGTTTCTTCTGAAAACACGCAGCAATGAATCATTGCAGATCTTTCAAACTTACTGAAATGTATCCTTTCATAAATATTAGGACATTTTTCATGACCCTAGGGGAGCAAAAAGATATTTCAATTGCAGCATAATTGTTCAATGTATGACAGTTTATAGTCTCTTGTTGAAATTTACAAATTTGAAAAAAATTTACTTTCACATACAATTAATAGCACTGATCTATGTTTATTCATTTCAGAATTGAAAATATCAGCTGTAGAACATGGCATGCTCAGCTGAGAAATTACAGTTTGTTGGAATTATAGTAAAAATTTTAACCCTCCAGTATTCAATATTAAATGAGATTGAGTCAATTTTTTTTAAATGAGATAGAGTCAAAAAAAAAGAGTTGCATAGTATTTTTGCTTGAATCAGAAGTCAGTGTCAAAAAATTTTGTCGACTAAAAGTCAAGAGTTGGTTTGTCGAATACTGTTAAAAACTTGATAAACTTAACTAAACAGTTCTGTTAAGACAGCATGACAATATGCAAGAATTTGCAAAAGTTTATGATGACTATTGCATTGACATATACAGGGCTACATATTTTTGTAGAACTAATAATTAATGGACGAGCTGGCCAACTTTTATATGCCTAGTAGGCCTACCATTACTTTTATTGTCCAAGCAATTTGTCTCTAAAAGAAGGCCAATGGAAGAATGATTTCTGGAATGCAACCCAACATTCTGTAGTGAAAACACTAAATATATGTTGCAAACCTGTTCAGAAACATAGTGTGCTTTTATAAGAAATATGGACATTTTAAAAGTTTTTGCAAAAAACACTGGTAACTTGTTATGT